GGTGATGGGGCAGGAAGGGGGGCCGGATGCCTGGCACTGCTGCCGGCTCAGGGAACACTTGCGCTGCCATCCTCACTCCTTCTGCGGGTGAATGCGGTGGAAGGTGTTGGTGCCAACCCTGCAGGGACACAGAGAGAGGAGATGTAAGGGTAGGAAATGCACCCTTGCACAGGGCAAATGCATCCTCCCAGTGCCCACCCGGCCAATCCCACCCCCCAGCAGCATTTACACCTTGGTGGGATCCCCAGGGAGCCATGCACAAGCACCCCCATCCTTGGTGACGCCCACATTGGCAGCAGCTCTGCTGGGTGCTGAGCACTGCAGGGTGGGAAAGCCCCAACCCCCAGGGATACGCACAGGGCAGGGACAGGGTGCTCACCTGGTGGCTTTCCAGTCGTCCTTAATCATGTCCACATATGACCGCAGGAGCCACATGGTCTTCAAAACCTCCTTTCCCTCCTTGTTCACAAAGCACTGACCCGTGAAGACAGTGATGGCGTCTGTGGGGATGGGGTGGGAGGTGGAGGTGAGCATGGCTGGAGTGGCAGGTCAGTGCCAAGCTGTGGCCCTGCCGCCTGCTCCAGTGCAGTAGACAGTAGACCTGGGCTGTCCTTGCCCTCTGGGGACAGCGGTGATGCGGAAAGCAGGCAGGAGGTGTCAGAGGGCTGGGGGTCTCACATGGAGATGGGCAGACAGTAAGCGGGCTTCAGCCCCCAGTGCATCCTCTGTGCCCTGGGACTGGGAGGTGACACCAGCCAAGAAGCTCTGGGGTCAAGGATGGGGAAGCATCAGGGACACCACAGGGGATGGGAGAGCACTGGGGACACTGCAGGGAAGCCACGGGATCATCAAGGGTACGGCAGGGAAGGGCAGAAGAGCATTAGGGACACTACAGGGAGGGCAGGGGACCTCTGAGGACACCGCGGGGAGGCTGGGAAAGGAGAAGCACCTGAAAAGCTCCAGTTGACGGTGAAGCCGAAGGTGGACTGGCTCTTCTCATTTGTGTGGTGCTGGGACCCCTGCAGTGGTGACACTTGGATCTCGTTTGTGGTGGCTGTCACGGCTGTGTGATAGGAGCCAGCGAATTCGCCTTTTCCATTCAAAGCCTTGATGGTCATGTTGGATCCCAGGTCGTTGATCCAGTGCCCCGTCAGCACACACTGGAGTGGAGGGGACTCAGAGTTGGTGCCACAGCACAGCCCAGGCATGGGCAGGGTGGCAGGAGCAGGCACTCCCAGGAGCCCTAAATTCCAGGGTGCTACTCTGTGACAGCCACCCTGCCCGTATGTCCCAGCCCTGCTGTTACCTTTCTTGCAGAGAAGCTGGGAGCCACCAGAGCCAGGCTGAGCACCAGGAGGAAAGGAGTCGCTTGCACCATCTCTGCAGCAGGCAGACAGCTGGCGTACCTAGGGATGTGCTCCTTGCAGGACTCTGTCGATGTGCCTTCTCTCTCGCCTTTTTATTACTGCCAGGGCTGTGGGTGGCAGCTCTGGCCAGGGCATTGTGCAATCTGGGTGTTTCCTCATTTCAGTTTCCAGCCACGGAGAGGGTGATTTCAGGCAGATATTCCCAGAAATGCCTGCTGAAACTGTCCCTCCTTGCTTACACTTCTGTGGCACCTTGCGCAGCCCCGGCTCCTGCACGTCAGTGATCACCAGGATGGACGTTTAGCCAGGGAAAACCCCTCTCAGGATGTTGTCCCTTCTGCGACCTGTTTGCTACCTCACTGCTGTGCCCTGGCTGCCTAGGGGTGCCAAGCAGCCTTAACCCCAATGCACCCCAGGATCAGCCACAGCACACGGCATGACCCTGCTCCTCCTCACCAGGCATCCTCGTGTAAACCCACCCAGCACCAGGCTCCTTTTCAGGCTTTACTTTATCCCCTGCCCCCTCCAACCACTACTGAAGCAGCTGCAGATGAGGCTACCAAAGCACCCGGTCTCCTCTTGCCTCAGGGTACGGTGAAGGTTTGCTGCTGTTTCTACAAACTGGCTTTTGTTAGAAGGAAATTATTTTGTTTATGAATAACAAACATTCCCTGAGTGTCTTGGACCTCATATTTCAATGCTGGCAAAATTTATGCAGGGATTCTTAAATAACTTTAAGTGTGTGTTTATATAATTCCCTTTATGTTATAGTTGTTGCTGTCTGGGGAAGCTGAAGTGGCTCAGTTCACAATAGATTTCCTCACACATTCCTCAATGATTTTCAAGGCAGTCTCCTAAAATATGTCTGTTTTAATTCCCCTGGTCATCACAGCAAGAGCTGATGGAGCCCTATTCACCAGAAAATGGTCTTTTTCTTAAAATGGAGACAAGGCAACTCTTTGCAACATCTCAGGAATAGTTCCCAATTTTTTCTTTCCCTTCAATCTCACATTTGAGCCCCAGTTTCTCTCCAACAGTAAAATTCGTTGCTACCCAGGGTGGAGAGCATTGCATTTCTGCTGCTGGCATCTCAGCTCCTCCCTCTCCTCTCTGCAGGAGCCCCACAGCCCTCTCGCACCCCTGCCAGCAAGAGCTCCCCAGCCAGACAGCTGGCTGCCTGTGGGAAATTCTGGCCCCAGTCTTTGCTTCCCTCTGTCTTAGAAATGAACTGCTCAACAAGGTATGTTTTCCCATGGAGCTGCAGTTCGCTTTAGCTGTTTTTTTGGCAGGCAAGTGCTGCCTGGAGCGTGTCTGAGGTTCATGATAATGGGCACATTTGGTCTGGGAAGGTTGCAGGGGGCAGGAGGGGCAGCCATCGGCCCCTTGCCATCACCCCTCTCCATCACCCTCTCGCTGTGACCACCTTGCCATCATCCCCTTGCCATCACCTTGGTTCAAGAAGGTCCCGCAGGGATCCCACGGTCACCGGTGGGCATAGGGATGGTGTCATGGTTCAGCCCCAGACATGGCTGAGCACTATGTGGCTGCTCGCTCACTCCTCCCCCCATGGTGGGATGGGGAGGAGAATCAGAAGAAAAAGGTAAAACTTGTGGGTTGGGCTAAGGACATTTTACTGAGACAGCGAAGGGAGAGGGAAATAACAACAGTACTTAGCATATACAAAGTGGGTGATGCACAATGCAATTTTCTCGCCCAGTGACCAATCAGACACTCAGCCTTTCCTGGAGCTGCACCATCCCTCCCCGACTAGCCCCCTTTTGTGCTGAGCATGATGCTATATGGTATGGAATACCCCTTTGGCTAGTTTGGGTCATCTGTCCTGGCTGTGTCCCCTCCCAGCTTCTTGTGAAAATTAACTCTATCCCAACTGAAACCAGGACATTATCCACTCCTTAGTCTATACCATCTACATCATGCCCAGATCCTACACTGTCCAATTAATCACCACCACTTTCCCTGTCTTTGAGATATATGCATATATATATACACACACAGATATCATTCCCTTAGTCTATGGGCCATTCCTCTAAAATGTCCATTGAGTTCATCTAGTCCCTGACTTTGGGCTCCATGTGTCGTAACAGTCTCTCAGGGCAGGAGCTCTTGTTGGATTGTTGCATGCTGCATCCGGAGCTCACAGCTGGTGTATCTGGCACAGCCCATGCCCACGGTCTGTGGGTTGAAGATGTCGATTTCAAGGAAGTTGCTGGGTGCCAGTTGCTGAAGTCAGTTCTAGTTCCACCATTTGCTCAGTTTTATCAAAGTTCATCCCTCATTAATTTGGGTGATTCTTACTGTGACAGTAGTAAGCACACAGAAATTGTAGTAGTGATGACATACCGTGGCAGGGTTATTTAGCAATTAGCATCATACAATTTAATTTATTGGCTATTTTCACCCAGAATCAAATCCCCCTTGAGGTACACATTGTACTTCCCCATCCTTCTACATCACCCACAAAGTGCAACCAGGTTCTTGAGCAAAAGCAATCCTGCAGAGGGGTTTCCCTTTGACTGAGGCAGGGCTAGCCCAGACTGTCTTCCCCAACATATTCTTGATATGCATTACAGGGACTTTATCCTCTTCTACAGGACGTGGAAGTTTTGATTGGGCAGGGCCAGCTCAATTGGTAGGTCCCCTACTGTTAACTAACCAGGTGGCCTTTGCTAAATATGTATCCCAATGTTTGAGGGTCCCACCACCCATTGCTCTCAGTGTAGTCTTTAGCAGCCCATTCTATCGTGTGATTTTCCCAGAGGCTGGTGCATGGTGGGGGATGTGATACACCCACTCAATGCCGTGCTCTTTGGCACAGGTGTCTATGACATTGTTTTGAAAATTAGTCCCATTGTCTGACTCAGTTCTTGCTGAGGTGCCACGTCACCACAGGACTTGCTTTTCAAAACCCAGGATGGTGTTGCAGGCGGTGGCATGGGGCACAGGGTATGTTTCCAGCCATCCGGTGGTTGCTTCCACCATTGTAAGAACATAACGCTTGCCCTGGCGGGTTTGTGGGAGTGTGATGTAGTCAGTCTGCCAGGCCTCCCCATATTTATATTTCAGCCATTGTCCTCCATACCACAGAGGCTTTAACTGCTTGGCTTGCT